AATTAACAGACTAATCAAGTGTCACGCATCAGTTGTAAAGAAAAAGAAAAAGATAAAGAAAGATCTAAAAACAAACATGCTGTAAATTTCCTAAGGAGTAGTCTCTATGGTGTCAGTAGTGGCCATGATGACTGGCCACATGTGACAGGAGGCCTGAAAATCTGCCTAATATACCGTTTAGGGCTAATCCTTTGCTTGTATTCCCATATCTCTATTGTACATTGAATACCATGAAGGCTAAATATGAAGTGGTCCCTGCAGCAGCAGCTGCTGAAGTGTTTACAATGTTTAAAAGCCATAAGGCCAGGTATTATCCTATTTATACCTAACCACAGACTCACCACCATCAATTTGCTAGACTGCATGACCACGAGCACTTAATCCACAATAATTAACCAATTAAAATGAAGCATGGAGCTAATCAAAACCATTAAGAGTTAGATCATATAAGGACCTATAGACGACAACTGCATGGTTACACTAGTGAGCTCTGGCAGGTAATTACTATGATGGCCTGTGCCCTGAGCACATAGACAAATGTATGGTTTACTGTTAGCCCTGATGGGTTGTCCCTTCACTCTCACGAGCTGATCACCACCCCTATCCTCACCCACTACCCCCACCCTCCCACAAATAGAAGACATTTCCTGTTTTCACTGAGGGGCCTTCTCCTTCTCTAAAAATACTCGGCTCTTTTTTTTCTGTTCTTCTGAGTGGGGAGAGAAAAAGCAAGATGATGGGCATCATTAGGCTCAGTAGTGCGTGCTGAGGCATTGCTGCTTTAACGTCCACATCCACCACTGTAATGTTCATTAACACTGCATAGCCCTTGTCCCCAACACACACATGCACACACACACACACACCTCTTCATTACCACGAAAGAGCAAACACAGCATTAAAAAGCATTAAGAGTAAATGGATATTTTATTAATCTCATTGTAGGGTGTGGAGGAGTAAGTTAATTCGAAGCATTGACTGCTTAACCTTTTTAGTAATGAGGGGGAGGCTGTTGGAGTATGGAGTGGTGTAGTGTTTTTTAAGTTGGGAGTATATGTTTATTTTATTAATATTATTTTATTTTTGGGCTGAGAGCCCAGTGCAGGTCGGCATATTCTAATTATTTCTTCCCTGTTTCTGCTTTTCTCTTTATCCCCTGCCCACCATCTCCCCTGTCTTCCACAGCAATTTGGCAAGATTTTAGACGTGGAGATTATTTTTAATGAGCGAGGCTCCAAGGTAAGTGTACTGTAACCATACATTCATGAACACATCTCTCACACACATACGATTTTCCAGCTGACTGTATTTGTCCCCTGCCTTCCTTTTTTTCTTGCAGTCCTTCACTCCTCTCACTGTCTTCACAGCTTTCGTTTCCACTGTCTAATAGTAATTACTATCCTATCAGTGACACTTGCCTCTGAGCAGCTTTTACACCATACCAGCCTGCCATACATTGTGACATACAATAAATCCCTGCCACTTATCGTAACGCTAACATTAGGATTCATGCTGCAAACACACGGTCTATTCCGGTTAGCTTTCCAGCTCGCAGTGCCAAGAAGTAGATATAAACTCTGCTCTATTCCATGCAGTGGGATGAGTTAAATTAAAATATTACCTGCATCATTGTGTATAAATAAACATCTACTTTGTTCATCGATATCACTGGATGCTATATCACAACAGTGATTCACCCTGTAGCCATTTCATGAAGCTTTTACATTGCTAGTTATAACATAGCTAGTCATAATAAAATTGTTAGGCTAAGCTAAGTGCACATACATGCGTACTAAACAAGCTTGCACAACGCCCACTAGTTCTTAGTTACATGTTAGTTGTTACTACATATTTATGTAATAACTGTGTAACTGACACAGGTCATTTGCTCATCTATTGGCTGAGAGATTAACTGACTGATTGAAACCTTTATTTAAACAGAGTTAACTCATTGAGCGAAAGGTGTCTCCTGAGTGATTCTCTGTTTGGGGAGTTAGACATAATTGCTGTGAATAATAGAATAATACCTGTGTAAGTAGTCTCATGTAGTTACATTTTAAAAGACAACTGACAAACACAACAAGCAACAAAAACATTTAAATATCTGAACTGACATGTTTGAAATATTGTTCAATAAATATTATAATAGACTGTGTCATTATAAACCTAATAAAACCTCAGTAAGTAGGAATGAAAGAACAAAAAATAAATGGAACCACAAAAATGATCCTTTACCAGCCACATGAGGTGGCTTTGGTTGCATATTTAGACGTGCCCCTCTCAATCTAACCTGAGTGCTATTCATTTGAAAATATATTTTATTGCTTCATATTGAGTAATGTGTTAAATGAATATGTCATTTCTTTTTGATGGCACTACTGATATTGCTTAGTAAACATATTTACACATTACTTGAGTCTTTACAAGGACATCCCTTAAGAGTTAACGGTGTAACTCAATTCAATTCAGAACTAGTTTTTAAAAAAAAAAAAAAAAAAAAGCAAGCTCTTCTTCATGAACAGTTTGCAGATTTTGTAATGAGTTGACAAATACTTGTTGAAAAAAAAAAAAAAAAAAAGCAAGCTCTTCTTCATGAACAGTTTGCAGATTTTGTAATGAGTTGACAAATACTTGTTGCAGCCTAATTTTAAGGTCTAATTTACAGCGTGCCCTCTGAGCTGAAGTTCCATGAACAGATTATAGATTATGGCACTATGCGAGCTGAGTGATTGACAGGTGATCTTCTGCAATATGGGGCAAAAGCACTACAAAAAAAGCTTTATACTTCCCTACACTCAATGATACCATATTACCTAATTACTCCTTCTCGGTGATACGGACAGTGGCCAATTGAAAGGAAGCAAATGAGATGAAGGAGTAGAAGACATAATTATTCTGATACCTCTGTGTAAGGCCCGGTGATCACTGAAGCTACTGAAACTGTTGGAGTGTCATGAATACTAAATGAGGAACAAGAGTGTTTATGCACACATTTAGAGAACCTCTAGCAAAAAATATGACTTCCATTATATTCATGCCAGACACAAGTGATTGTATTTAATAGTTAACAGTTATTTGATTGCAAAAGGTACAAAAAAGAGAATTTTAGTAAGGTTCACAGGCTATCCAACTTTTGATTTAACGTGATCATTAAAGGTAACACAGACAAGGATGTGTGGTTACGTGGATAACAGCTTTATTTTTTGGGGATACTAACCTACTGTTCCCTTCTGTATGCACTCCAGTTTGTTTTTTTACATGTCTGGTTTACATTCAGCTGCTTGTCTAGTCATGTCCCTTTCTCTTAAACATGAAATATTTACACATGATAAATAAAGCAAAGTAGACTATCAGGGTGAGGAGCGCTGCATGTAATTATATGTAGATACAAAATGTCATAATGATTAATTTCATTCTCATTTCAGTTTTTCAGATGTATTTTTATTTGCTCCTTCTCTCGCCTATGTGTTACGTATGCCCAGCAGAGGCAGTGAATCCTGTATGTGCATATGAGATCACAGTGCCGAGGTAGCGTTCACATATTATCTGGTTGTACAAATACAGAGCAAGGACTGGCCCGAGATACGAGCTAAAAGGACTGACTGTGAGTCCAGAAGGCATGTCTGGCAGGCCTATCAAAAGCACTTCACTCTCTGCCTCCACGGGTGGGGGCGTCACAACCTGGGGTTCAGATTTGCAATTTAAATCAAAATGAGGAACCTGGCTGAATTAGATCTGGGGTTGAAACTTGAAAAAGAGAGAAAACTTAATTGAATTTTGCAAGAGACATCTCTGGACTCCCTTCCTCGGTCTGTGGCCTCTAGTTACATGTTGGTGTATAATGGCGGAAATGTTAAAAACTAAACCGTCACATGACTGAAAATGGAAGGCAAAGGAGGAGTACCTCAGTGAGATCCATCCACCTCTGCACATATCAAGCAATTCCTGACGGTAAAACATGATATCTAAGGAGGAACATTAAGTCCACTCTTTCAAAACTTGAAAGTCTGTCATACACAGTCAAATTTTGTCCCTTTAGGTGGTCTATTAAATCAATTTCATTTCCATGTGTTTTGTATTTCCCTGTCATAAAAAAATGGATGTATACCATACAATTAAACAGGAATTTAAAAAAAAAAAATAAGGTATTGAGGTAGAAAAAATTTACAGAATGACATTAAAGTTCTGTTGTATTTTATTGTTATCAGTATTTTTTAGTCTTGTTACTTAATACACAAGTTTGATCAGAACTGCAGGTGATGTGGATTAGAGCAGTCAGAGCACAGTGCTTATCTGTGGTTACCACCACTCATTACTGCTGTGAAAGCAAAGGTCTATGTGTCCTTTGGAACCATCATCTTTCTATTCAAAGTGCCACGCTTAAACTTTGGCCTTAACGCCTTGCCTTAGCAGCTGCCACTCGAATGGGCCACACTGGCTGGTGGCCATACTGAAGTCATAACTGAAAACATTTTGTTGTCTCTGAACACCATGTACTGTGTTAAAACAAGAGAAACATGAAAAGCTACTGTTATTTTGCCGTCTACATACAGTTGAAATCAGAAGTTTACATACACTATAAAAAAACGCATAACCCTTTTTTTCTCTATATATGAGATTAAATGTGATTAAACTTTTCCTGTTTTAGGTCAAGATTACCAAAAATGATTTCTATTTGCTAAATGCCAGAATAATGAGAGAGAGAATTTTTTAGATAATTTTCTATTGCTTTCTTCAAAGTCAGAAGTTTACATACATTTCCTTACTATTTGGTAGCATTGCCTTTAAGCTGTATGACTTGGGTCAAACGTTTTGGGTTTCGTGTCACAATAGTTTGCTGAAATTCTGGCCCATTCCTCCTTATAGATCTGGTGGAACTGAGGTTTGTTGGTCGCCATGTTTGCACATGCCTTTTCAGCTCTACCCACAAATTTTCCACAGGATTGAGATCAGGGCTTTGTGATGGCCCCTCCAAAACATTGACTTGGTTGTCCCTAATGCTTAGGGTCATTGTCCATTTGAAGACCCATTTGCGTTCAAGCTTTAACTTCTTGGCTGATGTCTTGAGATGTTGCTTCAATATTTCCACATAGTGTTCTTTCTTCATGATGCCATCTATTTTGTGAAGTGCACCAGTCCCTCATGCAGCAAAACACCCCCACAACATGATGCTGCCCGTCCAGTACTTCACAGTTGGGATGGTGTTCTCAGGCTTGCAAGCTTCCCCCTTTTTTTTCCAAATGTAACGATGATCATTATGGTCAAACCGTTCAATCTTAGTTTCATCAGACCACAGGACATGTCTCCAAAAATGAAGGTCTTTGTCCCTGTGCGCATTTGCAAACTGTAATCTGCCTTTTTTCTGTTGCTTTTGGAGTAATGTCTTCTTCCTCTCTGAGTAGCCTTTCAGCCCATGTCGGTACAGGACTGGTTTCACTGTGGATAATGACACTCTCTTACCAGCTTCAGCATCATCTTCAAAAGGTCTTTTACTTTTGTTCTGGGGTTGATACACACATTTCTCACCAAAACACTTCATCTCTGGGACACAGAACCTGTCTCCTTCCTGAGCGCTATGATAGCTGGACATTTCCATGGTGTTTGTACTTGTGTATAATTGTTTGAACAGATGAACGTAGAACCTTCAGGCATCTCGAAATTGTACCCAAGGATGAACCAGACTTGTGGAAGTCCACAATTCTCTTCCTGATATCTTGACTGATTTCTTTATATTTTCCCGTGTTATCACAAAAGGAAGCAGTGTGTTTGAGGTGTGCCTTAAAATACATCCACAGGTGTGCCTCCAGTTAACTCAAATGTTGTCAGTTAACCTATCAAAAGCTTCCAAAGCCATGGCATCATCATCTGGACTTTCCTAAACAGTTTGAAGGCTTAGTAACCTTAGTGTATGTAAACTAGACTTTTAAGAAAGTAATAAAAAAAACTCTCTAAAAGAATGCTCTCTCTCATTATTCTGCGATTTAGCAAGTAGAAATAATTTTGGTAATCCTAACTGACCTAAAACAGGAAAAGTTTACTCTGATTTAATTTCAGACAGTGAGAAAAAAAAAGAATTTTTTTTTTGTTTGTTTGTTTTCTTTGTCTTCTTATACAGTGTATGTAAACTTCTGGTTTCAATTGTATGTTCCAATGCAGGTATAGACCGATAGCTAAACATGAGATGCACAGAGGTGTTGAGATGACTTAGGGGCAGAATAAAGATTTGACTCTCCTTTACTAGAATGTCTTGAGATAACAAATTCCTTTTGATACATTCTCTTACTTGTTGTATGAAACTGAAAAAATACACAAAAATATGTAAATAAACAAGCAACAAGTAACCAAATTATGAAATATACAAAGATATAGTATGTAAGATGGCAGATGTAAATAATGTGAACGGAAAATGGAACTTACAAACAAAACTTTTCAGAGGCTTTACATGGCACATATGGAAGAAAACAGAACGCTGTGCTTTGAGAGGAATGTTTGCGGTTTGGCAAGATGGTGTACGTGAACTTTGACCTGCCTCACATAACTCCCATAAACCAGTCCTCGCAAAGAAAGAGTCATTTCTCAGAAATCGATACCACTAATGTCCATGAGGTGGTGCGGCAAGCTCTAAAACTTGAAAAACAGCGATAATAAATGTTACATGACAACTGTGGTACATGAAAAAAGATCTGAAAACATGATTTGATGTCTTTGTTGTACAGAAACATGCTGGATGTCTCTTTCCAAGTGTAACTGTTTACATTCTGTCATTGTTTGTACTCATGCAGTACACATCCATCCATCCAGTCTCAATACACCGCTTAATCCTTACTAGGGGGCTGGAGTCTATCCCAGCTGACTTAGGGCGAAGGCAGGGAGCACCCGGGACAGGTCACCAGTCTAGAACTACACTTAGAGATAAACAACCACACTCACATTCAGATCTACGGACAGTTCAGATTCACCGGTTAACATGTTTTTGGACTAAGGAAGAAAACCGGAAATCATGTTGCGAACCCATGCTGCACAGGAAGAACATGCAAACTCCACACAGAAAGATGCCAGGCCCAGGCCGAGCATGAACCAGAGATCTTCTTGCTGTGAGGCAATGGTGCTAACCACCGAGCCACTGTGCAGCTCTCAGTACCCCTCATTATGCAAAATTGGGTAACTTTTGATGAGCAGTGACACCAGTGGATCCTGTGGGCACAAGTGATAATTACAGGATTGTGTGTCAAATACTGCCGGTGTCTTCACCAATCAGCTACAACATCAAAATCAATGACAGGTGAATTCTGTAGAATTGATCATTTTCTTACAATGTAATGTTCGGCACTGAAACCGTGATTCCTGGCATTCATGTGAGCGTTACTATGACACCTACCACCCACCTAATAATAGCTCCAGACAGACTCAAGCACGCCTTGTGATGGAAACAGCACTCCCCAATGGCAGTGGCCTCCTCCAGCAAGACAGTGTATCCCATCATACTGTAAACATTGTATAGGAACACCAAGAAGAAAACAACTAATATGTTAAGGCTTTGACAGATCCCAGATCATGAACCAGTCAGGAAGCTCTAGATTGCTGGTGGTTACAGTTTGCAAAGCAGATGCCAATCTTACCATCAAGACATCTATCTGCAGCTTTCTACTCAAACAAGAAGAAGGCCGCTTTCATGCTAGTCTTACAGCAATAAAATGCAAAGCTTTCACCAACAACTAAAAGCCTGTCCAAGATTTTCCTTCTCCAGCCTCTTGCTTCTGTAATGAGAATTTTCTTCTTCTTCTTTCAATTTGATGTTGGTAGCAGCCAGCAGTAAGGTGATGTCCAGACTGAGGATACCAAGCTTCTTCTTACAGGCAGCAGTAGACCTATATTTGGTGATATGGAGGACAGTGTCGTAGAGCACTTTTCAGTTGGAGGCTATGACCGTCTTATGTACTGCCTCTGGTAAAAACACACCTCTTTGGCAGTCATTACAGCTTTGAGTTGTCTTGGGTACATTTCCACATCCTTGTCACACCTGGATTTGGGCCGTTTCTTCCATTCTTCCTAGAAGATTCTGACAACTTCCTTCAGATTGGATGGAAACTGTCTGTTAACTGCCATTTTTCAGGTCTCTCTGCAGATGTTCTGTGAGGTATGAGCCTCAGTTTTATCAGAGGTTGACACAGAGATCCTTGAATTTCAGGAATTTAAATTTGATTCATTCAGGATCAAATTAACAACTTCAGAAAATGTGCAAAAGGTGAATGGGTCCAAATACTTTTTGAAACAGCTATATTTAAAGACTAATGGGAAAATGAAAAAAAAAAAAAGACATTTTGTCAATGATGTTGAAGGATTTGCTGCAGAACTATTATACCTCATGTTTTACCACATATAGGTTGTCTGAGTGAGCTGCATCTCCAGGCCCAGTCTGAGACACAGACAAGGTCTCCAGAACGAATGAGTCTCGTCCTGGGGCTGCCAGAGTCACGGCTGACTTATGCTGTGGAGATTGTAATTGTATGGCACTTATCTGCTGTCCCACAGGGCCTCTGCACACCAGCAGAGCAACTGCAGCCTATTGCAAATACACATGCGCACACACTTACACACATGCAGTTGTATGCACATCCCAAACTTCACTAAGTGGTGGCATCTGCTAATTCAATTAGGTCCAGTTGCTCCTGTAAATGCATGTGCAGCAGAGCCTAGGTGCAAGAGGGAACACAAAACAGAACCGCACACTCACAGACACACACATGCACACACACGACGAGGTGGTAATTTATTCAAAGTTCTTGTCTGTGTTCTTGATGTCCTGAGTTTCCAGCTTTCCTTTCTGTAACTCCAGCTCTGTTTCCCATGTTTGTCGAACCAGCCTGACATCTCTCTGGCTACTGCTTTTAGATATAGACCTTGGCCTGAACTGCAGCTCTCTCATCTGTCCTTTGTGTCTTTTTCTCCTCTCTTCTTTTTCCTGTTTGTTTCATCATTTCATTTCTGGACTTCCTTCCTGTGTTTCTTGATTTTCAACACCACCTCCTGGCCACTGCAGGGCTTTGGGTTTGTAACATTTGAAACAAGTGCAGATGCTGACCGTGCACGGGAGAAACTAAATGGTACAATCGTAGAGGGACGCAAAATAGAGGTGCCTTCCTTTTCCTGTCTCTTTTTACCTCCTGTCCCCCTCTTCTTTTATTCCCCTCCTTCTCCCTCTGACTCTTTCTTTCCTTTCTCTGCCTGCCTGAGGTTTCCTGAAATATACACCCTCCCTTTCCTCTCTCCCTCCATCCGTTCCCTTCTCCTCCCTACCTGCCTGCTGCACATTGAACGCTGCATGCCGAATCCTGATCCGTAAGTGTATGTGAGGAAGACATCTATCCAGCAGTGTGGTAGTGTGTTGCAGTGTTTTTTGGCACAGATGATGAATCCCACTTTGTTAATTATGGATTTTGTCATGTGTGTTTGTGTCTGTGGCATGCGCATGAGCTCATGGTGGGTTTTCATTTTCCAAATGATGACCAGAGCCAGAGTGCAGCACACCTTGTTAAAACTTTTTGCTCTAAATCATTAGCAATTGGTGTCACCATCCTCTTTCTCGCTATTTGTACTGATTTTGTGGTTTTCCATTTTAACTCATTAGGGTTAATTTAATTTAGGAATAGAAATATTTATTTTAAAAAATAAATTACATGCATTTGCATGGAAGCCCAGTAAATTCCCATGCAACTGCCCTGTCACTTATGTTTCCTGGTGACTGCTGTCTAGGGAGGATTAGGTAGTTGGATTATCTTATCAATTAACTTTGAGTGTCTAAACAGAACCATAAAAGGTTAAATGATAATGTATTTCTAGAAAATCTAATCTGGCAAATATAAAAAGTTCTTCAAAATGTATTTGCTGTTGCATAATTAGTGGTAAATTAAAGAACTTTTTAGGAGACATATTTGCATGCAGCCTTTAATCTACTTAGACCCACTTTAATCTGTTACAGGGTCAGATATTAGGAGCCAGGGAAAAATAAGCTGTGATCTCCCTTTAAGTAAAATGATAAATAAATCACCCTTCTATAAAATAAAGCATGATCCAACAGGAACAGGAAGCATTGCATTCCAAGTAACGTAACAGTGGCTACACATTAAAACATGCACCTGCACACAAGATGTAGAGCACTTATAGGCTTAATCCTAGACATTTTTTCACCCGTGAATCACCAAAATAGGGCTCACTGGAATTGTGGGATAGTAATTTTCTGTCCAGCAGTGTGTGCCCGAGCAGACAGGACTGCTGCCACTGTACTAGTCTTTAGACTTTTAAAATGTGTCATGACTTTATGAATTCATTCCCATTTTAAAGTTGTTTTCTCTCGCTTTATTTTAATGACGTTGAATGTGTTACAACATCTGATCTTTGACTGCATGTAGCCTTACTTGCTGAAAAGACTAAATACCAGCATGGAGAGTGGTGATGGTGTGGATTATTTACATTATGCACAGTTTTGGCTGGTTTGTGTATGTTTGCTTTTGTGCATCTCTCCTTACACTATCCTCTGTCCATCTGTTGACAGGTCAACAATGCCACAGCCAGAGTAATGACCAACAAAAAGGTGGCAAATCCGTACACAAACAGTAAGATTTATTTCTATCTCTTTCAAGCTCCTTTGGGTATCCTTTAATTCTGCTTGCCTATTCTTTTTTTTATTTTATTTTTTACCACTCTCATTGTTTTCTGCTCGTCGTTAGTTTCCTGTATTTTCTGATCCATCATTCAGTGTCACTGCCAGAATCAGACTTGGCTGTATTAAAGAACAAAAGATCTTATGGGTATGTTTACCCAGTTACAAAGCAATTCTATCCACTGAGCTTCAATGAAAAAGAAACCAAAAGCTACAACTGGAAGCCAGCCAGCAGTGTGCCCTCACACAAAAAGAGTTATTCACATTTGATTAATAAAATCAATATTTGTCAAACAAGCGGTGGATTTGGTTTGAAATATCATGCAAATAGCAAAGTGAAATCTTTTCTTACTTGGCAGGGAGAGGCGTTAAAAAAGGGTGAAAAGAAAAAGGTGGGAGAGAGTGAAAATTGGAGATAGGAGGGGATTTAAGGCAGGTGGAGGAGGAGAATTTGGTGGAGAGGGTGAATGAGTAAATGAATGGAGTCAATAAAAAGAGCCACGAGTCATTCGTAAAAAGGCAGAGATGGGCCTGTAGGGTATCTTTCTTTCGTCCATCTCTCTCACAGACACACATCGTAGTGATGGAAGGAAAAAGTGGTGGAGGGAAAGAGGGAGAGAACAGTGAAAAGTAAAAGGATAAAAGAGGGGGAGGGGATGGAATAAATAGCCAGACACAGCAGCTCCTTTTCACATCCATACGCGCGCACACACACACACACACACACACACACACACACACTCACGCACACACACCGACACACACCACCATATTGTTTGAGGGTGCAGAGAAAAAGAGAATGAGCCCTGAAGAGTTTTCCATTCGTCACTGTCATCAGGCCCCAAGCACAGACACACACAAACCTTCACATACGCACACACACACACACACACACACACACACATTCACACACGCACACACACCTATCTGCTCCAAGCTCTCCCCCCTCCTCCCTCCCACGCTTCTGTTCAATCTGCTTTATTGGCTTCGGTGGTGGTTGAGCAAACTGTTGACAAACACCATAAATACAACTGAATAAATTAGAAAAAGAGGGACTACAGTAGTGCACAGTAATTAACTTTTTATGACTTCATGGTTTTTTTTGAGAGTGTAAAGTGATGATGAAAATATTTAGGAGAAGAAGAAGAAGATGATGATGACCCCAGTTGGTTCAAAATGTTTAGATAAAATGGAATACATTATACATGAACAGGATGACAAAATATTGAAAAAAAATCAGGTGGCAGAGTTAACCAGAGACATCTCATAAAACAGGAATTTAAAATAGATCTTGTTGTGTTGAAAAATGTTGATTATGCTTGGACGGTTTTTGCACATTGTCCTGTGTTACCGTAACAGTTAAGATATTCACTAAAAGGCTAAAATGCTACATTTAGTAACTGCTGAGATTTTAGTGACTCACGTGGAATGAATTGATGTTATGCACTTGTCCATGGAAAAGCAGATATTATAGTGATTCTGTTGAGAAGGATTGTTTTTCACAGCAGACTGATACAGCGTTATGCAGTACTGCTAATATTCTTCCCTGTGTGTGTGTGTGTGTGTGTGTGTGTAGGCTGGAAGCTGAATCCAGTGGTTGGAGCAGTATATGGTCCTGAATTTTATGCAGGTAAAGAATCACACTAAGAACTGAGAACATATGTTGTGTTGTAGCATGCTTAGTACTCAGTCATCCACTCTTCTTCTTTTTTATTATTATTATTTGCATTTGTTTCCTTCTCCGTTGTGTATTATGTGAATGATGTGTGTAAGTATTCATCTTGTACACTGGATCAGACCTCGAACGGATCGCAGATCACACATTTACATGTTTCTGTATGTGCAAGCCTGACTGCAGTGAGGACTACCACCTCTCTGGAGACACAAAGAAAAATCACCATAACATGTAACCTTCATTTTTAAGGTGAAGACTTTGTTTAAGGCTAGGGTATGCTTAGGTTTAGGCTAATGGTCAGGATCAGGAAAGTAGCGTTTCTGTTTGGAGGGTGGGTAAGTCTCCAGGAAATGAATGTATGTAAGCCAGTGTAATGTCTTCCGAAGTGATGGAAACATGGCTTGTGTGTGTGTGTGTGTAGGTGTGTGTGTGTGTGTGTGTGTGTGTGTGTGCAGTCTGAAGTGCCAGCTTGGTTTCATTTGGTAGAAATGCTGAGGCTGTCCGCTCCCCTTAACTGCACTCCTTTTTGGTCATTAGTCTGAAATCTGTTCATTCCCAGACAGCTTTACAGCGCTCCTCTAAATAACTGCCCTGACAGAGAGATGCCATCCATCTCTTTTATTTCACCTTTTCTCTTTTCCTGTTTTTCTGGCTCTGTCCCTTCAATCCACCATCTATTCTTTCATCCACCCACCCAACCAAATTACAACCTTACATGACCTCCTGCACACCCAATATTAGGGTTTGTCATGCTTTGCTGTCTGTGGATTTATCCTGTATGCGTGTGGACACAGCAACGTGTGCTCAAAGTACATGCACATTCTATTTGGCATTGTCTGCCTTATGTCTTTTTTCATCAGCATGTGCGTGCAGAACATGTGCATACTCAGGATTCATTAAACAAAACTCAGATACCGTCAAAATGTGCACCAGCTAGTGTATGCTCTGTTTGACAATAACGTGGCTATTCTATTCCTCTATTCTGTTCCATGCACAAAAGCACACACTTGTGACTTGTGTACCCTGCCTTCACCTTAAGTCAACTGTAGTAAGCCTCAGCTCTGCATTTTATCCATAAGAGTAACAATTTACCACATTTTATCACTTTTATATTAAACAGTTCTAAACATATTTTCCTTTCAGTAAAATTTCAAATTAACCAAAGGCCAAAGATTCAAAACTCCCATGACTGCAGGGGTGAATGTGAAACTACCTGAAGGATACCAGGGATGCATTATAAGTGACTGATAAGTGGTGCCATATACCAGCTCCACACCACATGACTGTTTGAGTTTACTATAGATGACTTCCTTCACTCCTGTTTTAAACCATCTGTCCTCTTTGGCCAGAATGTAAATGGACTGCACTTATATAGCGCTTTTCTGTCTTAGCGGCACTCAAGGCACTTTACAATGTGTTTCTCATTTACCCATTTACCCTTTCATACACCAATGGCGACAGAGCTGCCATGCAAGGTGCTGCCTGCCATTGGGAGCAACTTTGGGTTCAGTGTCTTGCCCAAGGACACTTCGACTGTGGAGGGAGCAGGGGATCGAACCACCAACCATACGATCAGAGGACAAGCGCTCTACCACCTGAGCCACAGCCGTGTATTTTGCTGTCCTCAAAGGAATGTCTATTGTAGATGCAGGTGGACTGCCGAGTCTTGTCTTGTGGAGCTGGTTCTCTTGTTCTACATCATGGAGCTGTTGTTTAGTTTCCTCTAATAATAGGTCTGCATGCTTCTTACTGCTTGGGTGTTCTGTCCTTAGGGTGACGCAGCTTTTACCTAAGAGTCTATCTGGGTCTAAAGTGCACCAGGATGTTGTGATTGAAGAAACTCCTGCTAAGGTTCCCAGACACTCTTGCAAAATAGAGTATGACAAATCTAAAATAGTTAAAAGCATAATGTCTTTATGCCTTTTACTATTTTAATCTCTGCTTGATGTTGTGCTAGTTTTTACAGATCTCTTTGATGACTTAATGAAGGCCCAGTTGGAATAGCCACACATTTAAAGTACATTCTTAATATATGTGTGCTCCACTTCTTTTCCCTTTGTCTTGGCAAAGACGGTTCTGATAACCCCCAGCTTGTGTTTCAGCGAGTGGTGGGACTATAACAGCAGGTGTCAACCTGTGTGTGTAAGTTTCCCATAAACTTCAATGTTGAGGCCTCTATCCTCTTATATGTGCACTGTACAGTCCAAAAAGGCAGCATGTTTTTTCTCAAACAATCCCTTGAGAATTTGATGTTGCTGTCCACCAAGCTGATGTGTTTTCTGAAAGCTACCACTTCGTGGGTTTTGATTCTGACCCAGGTGCTGTCCACTTGTCAGAGCCAGTGGCTGGGAGTTGTTCCCTTGACAGAGCTTACTGTTCTGTGTTCCACTTCCTCCATGAAGATTGGCCACAATGGGTGACACTGTTCACGGCACAGCTGTGCTTTAAAATGCAGAAACCCTTATTGTTCTTGAAATATGTGGTGATGATTATGTTGTTTAAAGAGGCATCTTGCAGTATTTGTTTTCTATCAGTCTTGTCTCAGATGTAGGTCAACAAAGTGAGGTGATATCAGATGATCAGCTGGTCATGGGGAAAACTGAGACAAGATGAAAGGGGCGTAAATCAGCGTGGGGGCATTACACTGTTAGAGAGGACAGCGCTCAATCTAAATATTACAACATAATTTTAAAATGCAAATTTAATACATCATCAATGCTGTGTCACCTGAAAATTCAGCACCTGATGATTGCAGTGCAAGTAGAAAGTGAATCACCATCCTCCGGACAAACTGTTAGTGTTAGCTAGAAGAGGCTGTAGTGATGCGCGTGCAGAGGCAACACCTTAGAGGTTTTGTCATATGGTGGATATGGACATGATGGCTACAAACAAGATGGACAGTGAGGGATTTTGTGAGCTACTGAACTACACTGAAACAGGCTATAGTGTACCCTCAAATTATTACTAACTGCACTGAAAAGCGGTACAACAAAAACAAAGACAAACTTAAAGCATAGTTACATTCAAAGTTGTATTACGGTTGCGGTTCACTACATCAACAAGACTGGCATTTGAAATCTGCATTCCTGCTAATAGAGGTCATACCAGTCAGACACACAGCAGACAACCTGGCTGAGAAGTTGAAGAAGGGTGTGCAGATATGCAGGCTAGCTGAATAGCTAAAATGGCAGCAATTATGCCTCTTTTGAAGTAGTTTTGATTGAGCTATTTGTTTAATAAAGACCAAGAGTCTTATTTGTTGGTGTTTCATGAACTGTTTCATGAATCTGTTGTGCTTAACTAATGTGCCAACTGTTAAGGAAAATACATGAAATTTGCCACCCTGCGTCCAGACAGAGATGCTAAGATGGTGGTTAGATGTATTGCAATGTTAAAGGTGACTGAATTAATGCTGATTGTGGGTCTGATTGGCACTCCTTTCCAGTGTGTCTTTGGAAGACCATATATAAAGTATATGTTGTGCCTTCTCCAGTGTAAAGTCAACAATATGATTGGCTCTCAATGGCACTGTCGTTTTCCAACCTTTGCAGGCAGTCTGCTAACTTCTTCTTATAGCTGCTTGTGGCATCAGAATGTTGTGGGCGGTGTTGTCATTGAATAGTGTAGTTATTTTGGTATGGTAATTGACTGTGTTGAGTTCCACTGTACATCGCCCCTTGTCTGGCAGCAGAATAGCAGTGCTCCAATATTTACTCAGAAATGTTACTGTCTTCCTTCCCTGATGTTTGAAGCAGGTATTTTTCCACTAGAGAGCACAGTGGAAACCTTCATCCTGCTTCTGCCTCTGTCAAGTTGTTTTTACTTATTGATGACTCTGTGGCTGTAATGAGGTCCACGACTGGTAACTGTTGTGCGGATTTGGCAAAGTTAAGTCCTTTAGCTAAGATATCTTTCTCTGGTTGGGTAGTGTCCTGACCCTGAATGTGTCTTCTTGTTTCTGTCAGACTTGTTTGAATGTTCTCATCGAGTTATTTAGTCTTGACTTTACTGTTTGGAATTAGTGTGTTTGTCATACCGTTCTCTTTATGTGTCCAGAATCTCCTAGTATTTATTGTAGATGTAGACTGCCACCCTATACTCAAATGCTCTTCAAAACTTTGGAACAGCTTAAAAATGTTGAGGTTAGGCCTAAACAACACCATTGGCCCTCTGTCTTCCAGAAGGAAGAATAGATGAATGGTTCAGGAGGGATAAAGTATGAGGAAAGAAGGGAAACTAGGTGACAGAAAACAAGGAAAATTAGTTATGTCGGTGTCTTGTCTGCCCTCAGCATTTTTCCTGTTGTTCATACTCTGTCCTCATTTTATTAGTCTTTGCTGTAGCTCAGGTCTACCGGCATTCTTTCCCTCATAAATAGTACACAGTGCAGTTCGTTTCCACACCTTCACCTTTTGCACTTACTGTACCTCCTGTTGGTGTTAGTGTCTCCCTTCTCTCACTTGCACCATATAAAAAATGTAAACAATTCTCACACATAAGTAAAACTGTAGGATTGGGATTTTTTTTCTAGAATAATTATGACTGCATTTAATCTAGTTTAGGAAGGGGGTAAAGTAAGGATGTAGAGTGGGATTTAAGGGCAATTAATCAACCTTTATCAGACGGCTTTTCCCAGCACCCATCAGCTGAATCGGCCTCCATAAATCCTGGCCAGCTGACAGTGCATTCCATCTCCATTGCCAGACTTGGCTACAGGTTTATTATGTGCAAATCCCATTCAGGAGAATGACAGATGACCTCCACATGCATACACACTCATGAATACCCGTATGTAGGTACACATGTAAGCATAGATGTACAGTTGCTGTTCTACATGTATACTCTGGGATGCACCAAAACAAACAGGTACTGTGAATTCTGAAATAAAAAAGCTGTAGCTCAAGTATTAGCAATTTCTCAAACAATATCCAATGAGTTGGAACAACTGAAGGCCC